TCTTTCCCTTACAAAAACACATTTAATTCTCCAAGAGCTGATTCATCCCTAGAAGTGCAATTATAGAAAGCTTGCACATAACTCAAAAAGACATCTCTAACAATGCTCACACATGTTCTGACAGTGGGCAAAGGGACTAACACACCCTTATTCCACAATCCTGTCCTCCTAATTGTAAGCTATTCTTAGTGCTTAGCAAGATAACACTTAGGCAGAGAGTAGAAATGGCTGTTTATCAAAGCACAGGAAAATTCTCCAGGCAGTTTGAGGATTTTTCCTCTCTGGAGGAGGAGAAAGAGGGCAGTACACAAAGAAACCTATTTTGTGCTTATTCAGTTTCCAAGAAATCAGCACCCTTTCCTGACTGCAGTCATCATGAACTGATGTTCTTTATTCTCAATGGTGGCTTGTAATACTACTTTTACTATTATTTTAGTAACCTAGCTCTTCAAAATAAAACTGTCTTCTAGTACTTTCAAAAATGTTCCTGTCATTTACCTCCTTTATATCAGCTTCATCAGCTATTTTGTATCTTAGAATGTATTTTCGAACTTTCCCTGGGGCAGGATCCCAAAGGACATTCATGCTGCTGTGAGTAACATCCTGAATTGTTAAGCTTCTGGGTCCAGGCAAAGGTACTGTAAAAATAATGACGGTAGTAAGGGAAAATGCGATTAATGGCAGAGGTATAGGTCTCTCACAGAAGGAATTAAATTCTTTTCCTGTATTTCATTGAAAAGGAGGTAATATCTTTCTGGGAAGTTCATTTGTCTGGCTATTAGACGAGACAGCTTAGAAGCTTATTGTCGAGCAATGAGCAAAATAGTTATAAACCACAGCAGCTTCACCTTTGTAAATTATGAGCACAATACTTTAAGAGGTATCAGTGCTTAAGATCATAACTTTTAGTGACAACAGCCACTTTTCATGTATGATTAAGAGTTTAACATTTTTTTAAGAATACATGAATAACCTTACTGCATGCATCTAGCCCAGAAACATGCCTTTGTCAGTAGGCAATGTTTAAGAAAAGGTATAAAAATGAAGCCATGTTTAGATTAATTTTTTTCTTGACATGGCATGTTTTCTTAGCATTTTCTATACTTTAGCGAATGTCTGAATTTGAGAACAAGGTTTCTAATTTAATGCAAGGAAAACTGAGACCTTGTGAAAACACTATAACCTTGAGATTGTCAAGCAAACTTCCTTCATTATTCAAGGAAAAAACTCTTTTATTCCTCTTTTAATAGCGGGTTCCTTTTCATTGAAATTGCCTTAAGACCTTTTGGAAATGTATGAGTGTTAGAAAATGAATAAAACTTGGGAAAATGGTCTTCTAAACAAAACAGAATATATAAAAACTGTTGTATGAAATAAAATCAAAATTAAATGTTGCGGAAGCAATAACAAAGCAAAAAGCAAGGCATCCATACATGTCACTTCCTGGGTGGTGAGTGGGTCACTAGTGATATCACCAAACAATACGTAAGCTGTTAAAGTGTACTCAGTATTGGGGATGAGATCTACCAGCTGCACCTCATTCACTGATGGTCCAACACGCATCTGCACATGAAAAATAACACACCATGTTTAGAAACTGAAGAAAGCAATGGCAGAAAAGCAAGCAATGATTTAACTTCCAGGGAATTTTGTTTGTGAGATTCACAGTATATTTACAGCTTCCTGACTGATGTCATTGTGTACAATATCCCAGTAAGTTCACTGCACTTCAAAAAGCACATGCCAGTCTCTTTTGACTATTATGATAGATCAAGAAAATTTATCAGTTTTTTTTTAATTTATTTCGGATAGAGTACAGGAAGTGACAACATTCTCTTACCTCTTTCTCTGTAGTTGGGACTGTGGCATTCACAGGTTCATATGTTAACAAATAACCAGTAGCTCCACTGAGAGGTTCCCATCTCACTCGCATGGAAGTTGATCCAATGTCATAAACATTCAAGTTTCTAACTGAAGAGATTGGCACTGTCAAATAAAAAAATATATATTATTTCCTTTACCTTCTTCACCTTTCATATTTCACAAGTAGTACCACCGAGAATAATGCACATGGCTATTACAGTACACTATGGGGAGCAGAAAGGTGATCTGCAAGTAGTGGTATTTTAAGTGATGCTTAAAGAATGAGGTAATGGTCATCGCATTTTAAATATGCTACAGATATGCTATACACACAGTTAAAACTTTCTTACAAGTCTGCAGTAGAACACTTGAATATTCTAAAAAGCAACATTAATTCACATGAATGCTCTAATATGAAATAATATGACTGGTTTGGGATCTGTACTTGTAAAAAGATTTTTTTGTACTTCTTGTTTTCTGTTATTCTCAAATTATTCAACAAACATCAAAAATTACCACAGAATTCACAAAATTCATGTACATGCTTTAAGGATTTATGACAAACCTAGTACAAAACAATCTAAGAAGCAAATGAACATCTAACATTCTATGTTCTTAAAGAGGCAGGAAAGTCACTCTATGTTGCATTCAGTATAAATATACTTAAAATCAATCATGTAGACAGCTAATATAGTGAAAATATGGTGAAGTTACGTCTCATAGAAGTGACATAATTGTGTTGAACGGGCTTTTTGTTAATCTAATAAAATTAGAATTAATTTCTATAGTATTCTGGCTGCTAGTAGCAGGAATTAATTATCTAGCATAAAAATGAAGAAGTACACATTTGTATACGATCAGATCTCAGGAATTTATAAACTCTGTCTTGTGATTCATGTCTCTCACTTGGGGATATGGTTTAATGAGGATTAGGGATGGTTGGACTCGATGATCTCTAAGGTCTTTTCCAACCTAGAAATCTATGAATCTATGAATCTCTCTCTCCAGTCTTGTACAGCCGTGCTTTATGAGCCTGGAAAGAAGCTGGGACAAACATTTTTTACCACGCTACAGTTTCACTTTGCTAAAGTTTTCCAGCCAAGATCTGAATAGCCAGTGTAACACAACACAATTTGGTCATTGAAATTAAAAATCTTGTTTCCTCTAAGAAAGCCCACGGTGCTAAAAGTTCTACTGGACAGTTCCCCAGATGCCAAACTGGCTGTTAACAAGTAATTCAAATTCCATTTCTAACTTACAAGTTGTTTCCCTGCCGATTAGAGGTTCACTGCTTTCATCTTCTACCACAGAAAACACATTAACAACATATTCTGTTTCAGGTTTCAGATCTTTCAGAACTGTCGTTGTTTCCATCCTACTTACATAAAACTACATAAAAGAGAAACAATGTTAACCACTGTGTAACAAATGCGTTTGTAATCTTATCTCTAAGAAAAAAAAACTCATACCCTGTGAAACTCTTCAGAAATCGATGGTATGGAACTAAAAATAAGTATGGTCTTAAACTTCTATGTATTTTGTCTGACAGTATATCATTTTTTCAAAAGGGAAACCTCAGACAGGCACTTGTTTTCAATAAATCTGGATAAATCTGGTAGTGCTCACCGTGCATCCTGCTTTCACATGATTTACACATTTATATTACTCAGCAACATAAAGAATGTGCCAGGGACATATATTACCACTTCGGAAAAAAGTTTTAAACACCCAGGATAACCTAGATGGTTACAGCACATGGCATTAGCAACACCTTGCAGAATAGAAATGCCAGCAAGCAGTCAAGCTGTAAAGTCAGTGTGCACTGGAAAGACTGCTCCAACCTTAATCAAAAGCCAAATCTTGAGGTCATGATTTACTAAGTTCTTCATGCGTCAAATATGAGTAAAGATTTAAAAGCCACATTCAGAGATGGGAAGTTCAGAGTTAGGTACACAGAGGCACCTAAATTCATTGTCCTAAATACTGTTCTGTGTGGTTGAAGAGAGTGATGAGCAGTTCAGATTGCCTAGAATCAAGGGCTGTCAGTTACTATCTCTCTGTGTAAAGAAGTAATAACCACAAGATGAGTTTGACCCTGTGAGTTAAACAGTTTGGAGGATATGCTTCGGCACAGATTCAAAGTACCATCATACAAAATTAATCCAAGCACTACCTCACAACCTCCATCACCCACTGTCTTTTTTTCCTATTAACAAGAAAATGTACTAAAAGGACAGTGAGCCTACCCATGAGTATGCTTAGAAAATTTCTGCTACAGACTTATTTAAACAAATATATGACATTGGAATACGAACAGAAAGGAATTATTTGAAATATTAGTCAATTGTTTTGAATAAATACATTTTACTCTTGGTTTCATGACTTTAAAACAACCAAACTCATCTTTATACTCTGACCTTTTGCAATTTTGTGTAACGTTTACTAAGGCATGATATTCTTGACCTTAGGAACTTGTTTTTATTTACTGTTATACCATATACAGTACAAACTTCAGAATGACATTACTATGATGTGGAAGTCCAAGGTTATTGTGGACAGTGTCAGAAATGAACATACAGTACCAACCTGTTGAGGGCTACCTCCAGAGGTAGGGTAATATTCAACTCTGTATCTGTCAACACTCTCAGGAGGTGGACTCCACCTCAGTCTGAAAGAACGAGGTGTCACTTCTGAAATAACTAGGTTAGAGGGAGGTGGCAAATCACCTACAAGTGCAAGCAAATTAAAAAATTATTAATTTATCTTATATCATTGGGAATAAAAACATGAGATAAAAAAGTTGCTTAGGAAAAAAAAAAACACACCACACTTTAGATATTTGTTTATGTTTCTGTTTTCTCAGGAATTCTAAAACAGCTGTGTGAAGAGATAGCTCACCATCATACCCTCAAGACCAAACAATTCCTACTTCACCTTTAACACCAGTATTTTACTGGAGAACTGTCAGCTAACATTACTGTTTTCCATGACAGGCTTTGCTATTGGGCTGTCAGACATTAATACTTGAGCAGGACTGCTGAAATTTTCCTTACTGGATGAGTATCATCAGAGAACCTGCCACGATGAGCAAAAGGTGGCACACCAGGCAACATACTTTCTGATTCTGGGAGAAAAGGTACGTCCAGCCATGTCATGCTGTGTTAGGTATAACACAGTCATTGTTGAAAGGAACGGAAGAACGCCTGCAGGTGGTCTGCACAACTTTCTCACACCAGCAGCTGAAAAAACAGTCCAGGGCTACACAGTGTTCCCAGTAAGTAATAAAAAGAAATTAGCAGTACAAGCACATAAATGGAAAAAGGATAGATTAGATTGAAAATGTGATATACCTGGACCTTTCACGCTGTTACACAGATTTGTGGTGACATCATCAACAATGCTAGCCAGGAAGGAGAAATCTGCAACATTGTAAGCATGGATGTCATCTGGATCTGTTGCAATCTGCTTCAATTCATTTTCATCTGCATTTTTAATACCTTACAGAAAGACATGAAAACAAAACTTGTTAGAAATTATGGCCACGCAACACAATACCATGAACTTAGAATCATAGAATGGTTAGAGTTGGAAGGGACCTCTAAGATCATTCAGTCCCACCCCCCCTGCCATGGGCAGGGAAACTCTCCACTACACCAGGTTGCCCAAAGCCTCATCCAATCTGGCCTTGAACACTTAAGTCCCTAAACACACTCTTGAATACCCATTTAAGTGCTTATATATGTTGTTACTTCCCTGTGCATTTAGCAGGCGGGCGGGAAGCAATTGGCACAAACCACCTCTTCATATAATACTTACCAATTGCATAAAGTTCCACTCCTTCATCTCTCAGTCTTCTTGAAGGGGTGACTACATCATCTTGTGATTTGCCATCAGTGATGAGAACACCAATTTTGCGAGCTCTGGGCCGTAAGCCTGCATCTTGTTTGAAGTTGTTTTTCAAGATGAAATCCAAAGCCATTCCTAGCATGATACAAAGAAGGTAACCACCACTTCAAACAATTTCCACATAGTAGTCACAGCAAAAGAGAGGATTTTATCCCAGTAATTTCACTCTGACAACATCATTCCACGATTTACTTTCTCCTAGAAGCGCTTGGAATCTAATTTCAGCCCACCATCTAGACTTACAGGCAACTGACACCATTTCAGCCCTTTCAAAGTCTCGAATCTCTTACTTTTTATGCATCGACCTCTGATCTACTCTAGTCTTCCTTCTAGATCCTCACCTTGTCTCCATCCCAACCCTGACATGGAATTGCCTCTTCTTCTTCTCATATGCTCAAGCTCTTTGTCAACCAAGCTCTCCTCCATCACTTTCCTCCAGATTTCGACTGAGTTGATATGTCTATATACTAAACCTGTTCTCTTCCAAACATACTGAATTGAACTGTAAGGCTCTTTCATCATGGACAAATTTGAGCTCACTGAACAACATTGGAGTCAGCTACTATAATTGTTTTTATTGGAGCTTAAGGAAAATCCTGGCAGTGTGACATACCTGTTAGAGTATTGCCTCCTTTGTATGGTAAGTTGGCTACAGCCTCTAACAAAGCCTGTTTGGTTCGGTAAGCATTGAGATTCCACTCTGTCCTGGGATCTCCACTATACTGTGCAAGACCTAGGAAAAAAAACATCATTACTCAGTTATTATGTGGCTGTGTAGCAGTTATGTTTCATTTTCCCTCCAACATATGAGGACTTACCAATCTGTACTTTGTCAGGACCGATATCAAAAACTTCAACAATACGGGCAATGAAGTTCCTGATAGTTTTAAAATTCGGCCGCCCGATACTCCATGAGCCGTCCACCAGCAGCACGATATCAGCTTCTGCTCTGGTTCTACATTCTAAACCTGCCGTGTCAACCAGAAAAATTATAACCTTAACATGATAGCTTTCAACCAGAAATATATAGCCTTAGCATGATAGCTTTATTTCCCCATCCTTTTATATGACATATGTCATGAGTTAACTTCCAAAACAGCTCTAGTTTTATTCACTGGCACTCTGTCAAGTATGACCTATTTGTGAACGTTATTCACACTAGTCACTGGTTCCATGGCAAAAGCTGTATAAATTTCTTCATGTATGTTTCATGTTATAAATAAACCTTCACAAATGTCAAGGCCAGTGCTCTTCTCTATTGTCATGTCATTGTTTGGTTTGGTCTTTAAAGATAGTTGATAACTTCATTTCAGAGGTTTTGTAAAAGACTAACCACTGACATGGCAGTAAGCATTATCAGATTATCCAAATTTACAGTACTTTAGTCTGTCACGGTTGGCTAAACTACTCCTTAATTTTCAACTACGTAATAGTGAAATTAATTGCATGTATTACAACCACTTTCAAATAAATAGCATTTCTGAATTTTCAGGGGAAAAAGACATAGTAATACAGGCGGTATAGAAGTTTGCATACCGAGGAAAGAAAGAATACAATTTAAAGAAGATACACAAACATAAACACAGGTCAAGAGATAGAGGGAGGACAAGAACAAACATTTATATAAAGCTGCAATGTTCTGAAAAAGTGGGAAGTCATTTCAGATATCTTCGGTTTACAAATTACAGAATAAAACACGCATCATATTGTTTTCATCACAAGGAAAATCACAAAATATTTATACAAAACAGACAGACACAATAATTTTATCCGCAGCCATTTGAAAAAAATAATAATAATAATCCTTGCTCTCTCTCTTTTCCTGTAGATTGTGTTACCAGCTGCAAATTTTCTGGCTTCCTGCCATCAGAGCTTCTGGTCTTTATATGGAAGAAATCCCATTGAGAAAAATCAGCCACACTCATCACAGTTGAAAGATATTGTGATTTCATATATGTTCCATATAATTGATCCAACACTGTAGACTCACGAATATAACTATTCCATGTACCTGGGGGTTAAAAGCATGATCCTCTTCTGCATAGAAAATATAGATCTAGTCTTTAGTCAGGACAATAAAATCAGTTGGGAGTAGGGTTACTAACAAGTAAAACCATGTTAGTAAAAAAAATTACATGCATAACTTTAACACGGAAGTTCAAGTTAGCTTCATGTACAATATAAAAGTTAAACTATTTTGACTTTTATTTTTCTTCCAACTACCATAGTTCCACACATGGAAAATTCTAGCAAAGGCATCGGACCTAGGGTGATTTTATTTTTTCCTCTATTAATAAATAATGTACTATTACATTTACAGTTCCAGACATAAAATTCATTTTTCACATTAAACGTGACTCAAATCCATGCATTAGTAAAATTAATTAGCTTAAAGAATATAACACTAAAGACAGAAATGACAGCTGCCTTAATAAAAAATAACAAACCATTCTTGGTGCAATTATTTTTCTGCCAGACTTATTACAGCATTACTCTAAGGTCACTGATGGCCTGTTACGTATTTTTTCTGCTTTGCTCTCTTGTATTAGACAGAGTGGGGTAGTTATTAATTAAGGAGTTTCTCAAAATGTTGTCAATAAAGTTACATGAGGTGAATATTTTTTACACAGCCCATTGTGGAAACAAGGCATCAAAGAGATTAAGCAAAAAGACTATAGAGTCAACTGTCAGAAAATTCTTTTTCTTTATTTAACTCTGAAAGGCCTTTGCAGTTAGGTTCTTCCTCCTCACCAAATTATCTCTGACGGTTATGCAAGCCTTGAAATGACAGAGGGGAAAAGTCTTTAATTCTACATGTATACTTGGCTATTAAGAAGCAGAGAGCTGCTTCTTTATGGTTTCAATGAAGGAAGACTGAGCCCTGAAACTCTCTCCATCCAATATTAATTGAGAGTATGGTGGGCATAACTATTAGCATGCAGAGGCCCATCAACCATACCAAGGGAGCTGCTATCATAACATTCGTAGAAACTTTGGCTGGAAAGTTTAGCTACACAGGGAGAATCTACCAAACAGATACTGGAAAGCACTCAACAATTGCATTTTTGAACTAAGTCTCCTCCTTCTATAGCAAAAAAACCCCACAACCAAATAGTGGTTATGTTGCATATAAACTCAAATAGGACATAATAACACTGGGACATTCCCAGCTATCAGATCTTTGTTCATTATTACATCTTAGTCTTAAAAGTCACCATATAAGGACAAGCAAAGGGCTAAAGATCTGATTAACATTCTTTGTTCTACTCCTGTGAACACCCCTGTAGATGAGCCATGATCTCTGCTCAAGAATTTGACCTTATGTGATTTAACACAGATGTGGATGGCTTGAAAATGCAATGCAGATGGCTTTGAGTAATCAGCAAAACATGGGTTGCCTGAGTTATCATCGTTGTGAGATCATGTAAAGGGTGCAGAGGACTAGAATCGTTAACTGGGGCATACTTAGTGGTCATTTCAGACAAGAGGTTATGTCATCAGGGTAGGGAGTATACTGAATCCTGTAAATAAATATTTATGTGCATTAGAAAAATTATAAGAAACGCTGGTACACTACTGGTCTTTTTTTATCCAGAAGCCAAGAGTGTCTTTTCCTCAATCCATTTATGTTTACCTCTAGATAAAAATGGCTCCGAAGTAGTATCTGAAAGTGTGGTCATCTCTTGTCCAACCAAGGGGCTGCTCTCTCCTCCTTCAAACATTCCAAAAACATTTACCTTATAGGTAGTTCCTGCCCTGCAATAGTTAAACAAATACACTGTAACTGAAGTCACTTGGCTAGCTAAATATTGACACTTCACTCACAGAAATCCTCACAGAAAGAAATCCCCCATGGAAAACAGGGTGCTAAAACGCGAAGCCCGAAGACTGGCTCTTCCACAAGGCAGAGAATTTTTGACAATTTAAAAGCTGATTCTAGATTCTGTCATTACATCTATAGCCTTCTTCATTGAAGTAATTTAAGACTAATAAAGTCTAATATCACAATTAATTAATGATTCTATTTTTAATATATTTAGTATATTTGCATAATGGATTTTGACATGGTCTGAAGCCTACTTTATAAATCCAAGCCTCTGAGAAAATGAATCAAGAACTGAACTAGGCTTTTTTTAACATGAGGTAAGGAACTTTTTTGGCAGGAAATTTTAGAAATCCCAACTTTCTCCAGTGTCCCATTAGCTTTCTCATATGTGAAATGCAGAACACAGTCTCTGCCCAAATCTTTGCCTCATTTGGTTCCTGTGAGAACACCACAAGTGCTGTGAATTGTCTCTGAAAGAGCCCTACCAGGTGCCTTTCAGAGACTGCATAACAAGATCCTTGTAGCTTACTGACAAAATTACTTTCTTATTTACAGTAGATTTTGCTAGGCATTTGAATCCCAGATCATGATTAAACAAAATCCTAAACTAGAGTTATCTTAAAAAAGAGAAAAAGACATGATTTATTATCCATACCTAAGCTCCTCCAATACCACTGTGCTGTCGTACGGCCCCACTATTAATTCTCCAAGACTCCCATCATCTTCGGTAGGGTGGAAAGTTACTTTGTACCCCTTTACTCTCCCTGGGGCTGGCTCCCAGGTTACTCGGAAACTTGACATAGTTGAATCAGAAGTTCTCAGATTTCGAGGTGGCTTAAAGGGAGAGGCTGCAAGGATGGGAAAAAAAAAAAAAAAAAATTTAAATGGGGCTGGTTACGGAAAAAAAAAAAATATGCTTTTATGTAAAAATCTATATGCAAATCCTGTATTAGTGGCAGCCCTAAACTCTTTGTGACTTTCTTTTGACATAAAGACAAGTATAAAAAGGGGAAAATTGAGATTCACTTCACCTCATTTTAGCTATCGAACCAATAGGTATGTGGGTAAAGCTTGTTATCAAGGCTCACTCTACAGTCAATGGATGGAGGGATAGATAGCGATTCATCTCACCTATCTTAAACATCCATCTGATCTTACATTAAATTTTGGCGATAGGCGGACTAACCACCATCAGTCTTTTGCTCTATTAACTATAGACTAGCCCTTTCTCTTTTAAATGGCAACAAGTAGGTGAGCCATATCGACCAAAAAAAAGAGAAATGGAAGCAGCTTCCACTCAAACCAACACTGGAAAAATCAGAATTTACTGCAGGCAAAAGTCACACCCGGCCAGTACTCAGTTACCAATATCACTTCTTAAGCTGCTTCCTCAGAGCTCTGGGTTCCATAGGTCAGAGCATGGAGAGCATAGAAACAAGGACCCTTTTGTAGCAAAGATCCCACCAAGAGTCGTCTCCCTTTACATGTTCATGGCCTGGCCGCTCAAGCAACTTCACCAACAACAGGTGAGGGCAGTATGTCAAAAAACAATTCTTCAGGAGTGCCAGCCAAACGGCTTGAGGTTTTTAGGTCCAGAGCAATTTCCTCTGAAGACTAGTAGCTACTCAGTGCAATTCAGTACTCACAGAGTAGTTAACAAGCCTGCTGCTAGCTTCTGCATCACTTTTAGCTTTTCCATAATCTAAAGTGCCGTCACAGAAAATACTGCAGCAGCATAACCTCAACATTGCAAAAATGGAAATTAGAGTAAACACAAAGTCACCACGATAGCTTTGGAGTGCAAAGGTGGAATTAACAAAAGATAGTTTGTCTTATCTCTGTGCCTATGCATTGTCTAACTATAGCAGAAAGATCATTAATGTCCTCAGATTGTGAATGCTGCTGAGAAACAGTAGATACGCTCTCACTCACAAGAAGAAATACAGCCTCTCTGTCTCATCTCCCATGATACTCCTCCCTGAATTATCACAACAGCTTCAAATAATAAGATCGCTCAGACTCCACTTGCTTCCAAAGAGTCATTACCACCACAATTATCTACTCTGAAAGCACAGAAGCGTATCCATATCAAGATAAACAGGTCAAAAAATCAAAAGCAACTGGATGATCTGAGATTTATCTCAGTATAATTTTCAAGATTGAAAAACTAGGTGTTGGTCAAGAGCTGATCAAGTTTTCATTACTTCTCTACATCAATCACATTTTTATTTAAAAAGAAATCTTCCTTCAGTAACTGAGGTGCCAATATCTCCACTGTTAGGTTCCAGCCATCATTCAACATGATATATGTTCAAAGAACAGAGAATGGCATGAAGCATTTACAGTGTACTCCAGTGAATGGCACTAGTCCCACGTGGGCAGAAACATTTTGAAAAAAAGCTGTCTTTTGATAATGGCTCTCTCTATGAAAGTAAAAAACTGACTCTAAATCTGATTGATTTGATCTGGACAGCAAGAGAACATTTCCTTGTAAAATGAAAGACCAGCATCACACACATACTAAAGGCAGAGTAGAAACTGACTTTTGTTTTTCATGCAAAAATCCCCTCACCAGGACTTAATAAATGTTTCAGAGCTTCAGTTTCTGAGAGAGAAGACAGCTTGTCCAAAAGACCATGGTGTCTGACGTCAGGCTTCCACAGATGACTCTTCAAAATCACCTACTCTCCCTTTCTCTTACCTCAGGTTTTCCACAGAAAATATGGTGACCAAAGAAGACAAATATAAGTAACAGGATGCTGGGTAGCTATTTAATCAATACCCAGGAGGAAAAGGCAAAGTATGAAACAACTGACAACACCTGATTTAGTAGTTCATTGATATACTGTCATCTTCACGAAACACTTTGACTTCTGATGATAGTGTTTTAAAACAAGTCCAGTACTTTCAACCAGATTTTGCACTGTATTTACACCCTCAATAGCAACAGCAAAAAAACGTGCTCAGGCTATGCTATAGTGAAGTTTCCAACAAATCAAACTCTCTTCTTAAACTCTAACATTTTCTTCAATTTGCCTGTTAATTCATGATCCTGGTAGACTCCACCATATTTTCTACATATCATAATTTTAAGCACAAAATTTTAATGATCAAATCATGTATGAGCTTGCAATACATACCTGTTGTTCCTTCTGCTTTTCTTGATTTTCCTTGTCCAAAATCATAAATTGGAACAACACTGAGGTCATATGTAGTTCGTGGCTTAAGTCGCTTTAACACTATGCTTGTAGTGGGAGCATTTACTCTTCCAAACATCTGTCTGCCTCCACTGCGTGGTCGGTAGTACACACGATAAGACAAGACTTTCCCAGGTGAAGGCTGCCACGTAACTCTCATTGTATTTTCTGTCTCGTTGTCTACTGTCACAGTCCTGGCATTTGGTGACACTTTTCAGTGTAAAAATATGGATAAATGTTTACTTTGTCACATAAAGATATGTTCAAATGCATGCCTACAAAATTCATTCTGCTGTATTAAAAAAAATATAAATTGCCCTCTTTAAATTTACAGTGTTTGATTGTGAGGAAGACAGGGGAATCTCACAGACCATTGTTAAATTATTTTTTGATTGTAATGGACTAAACAAATATTAGTGTGCTTTTCACCACAGAGGAAAAAAAAAACAAGAAATATAAATTACATGATGACATGGCATAACTGGGAGTTTTATTTAGTCACGTTTTTCAGTAACCTGTTAAGTAATGGATTCAGCACTCTCAAATGAAAGTGATAAATTATAAAGCCTTTGTTTTTTTTATGAACACAATGTCCTGTAGAATTAAGATTTTCGAAGTTTCGAGTTTACAGATCTGATAAGGTACTAGTAAATCCCTAAACTGCTGGCTGTTGGGCTCCATACAAACTATCCTGCAAATAGTGATGAGTGACTTTCCAAATGCTTGGAAAATCACTCACCACTATTTGCAGGATAGTATAAATAAGCACAGGGACTAATAAAGCATTTTCTCTACAAATTGCAGCACTCAGCTTCTAAGAGATATTTTCCAGACTGAACAAGCGTTACAAATGATCTGAAGTGAACTGAAAGGTATGTAATGCTGGCTGTCAGCCGGAATGAGCCATCTAGGTCTTGGCAAAACACAAACTTCTTGGCATGCCAGAATCAGTCAGTATTTCATCACACGGTAAGGTAGGCTTTGCAGGCTACAGTATCCTCTCCCAGTCCTAGGAAATGAGAATTTCTGATTGTGTTTGCAACAGAAAGATGTGATGCTAGCAAGTTTCAGGTCTAGGTCTATTGATAGAAGAGAGGAGCAACAAAACATACGGCTAAGCTGCCTACTTAACCTGGAAAAGGCTGGACAGCTAATGCTGCTGTTGATGAAAGAAGGAAGATGTGGGACAGCACTCCGCTTTGACTGTGAGGAGTCAGCTCTTACCAATGGCAGCAATTACTACTCTTGTGAGACCTTAAGAGCAACTATACTGGATCAAGGACAAAGGTTAAA